AATTAGGACGTACGCTCGCGTTCGCGATGGCAGTAGAAAAGGTCTATTTATGATCGGACGTCACCGCTGCGACAACGCATAAAATCCAGAAACAGTAAATCAAAACGGAATTGAAACATTTTTTTTTATTATCAGTCATCACTTTTTATTTAATTTTATAACAATATCCATAGTAGCAGGAAATAAATTGACTTAATAGCGAAACCAATGATTTGGATAGATTGTTTGCGTTTCGATTAGATCAACTTTGAAGTTTTGGTATTCTAGCGATTCGTAATTTCTTTTTTTTTCATACTCGCAACATCGTAATTTGTTCGAACGTAAGAATCTAATTCTTTTGCCTCTTTTTTTTTTACAAATCCATCGGAGAAAAGTTGCGGACGGAGAATTTTTGGAATCTCTCGAATGTCCGAGTTCGCTTCGGTTCATCGTGGCCTCGAAACTTAACTTTTAACGCGCTTAACTTGAAATTCCGCTTAACTTTGTACAAGCTTCTCCAACCTTTCCCCCTCCACCTCTCGTTCTCCATCCGAATTCTCGCCTCGCAATTACCAATTTACCAATCGTTCCTGTTTTTCGGTCGTCTACGGGATTAGCAACGAGACGCGGCGATAAATGCGGCGATATATCCGGCGACAGTTCATTTCTGCGCTCCTCGCACTCGAATTATCGCGTTGACCTTTTCTAATTAATGAATTAAATTCGCGCAAACCGCATTGTCGCCGCGGACGCTTTGTGATTCGAACGGCGGTGGCGGCGGTGGTGGTGGCCGCAACAATTATCTGATGTGCGCAACGCGACCAATAATGCGCATCGTTTGTCCCTCCAATTAGCGGATTGTGTAACGGACCACGGGAGGCGAGCTTCGCGTGGGCTTCGTTTTTCATTTAGCCCCACCCCGGCCTCTCTTCTGCCGTGCCACCGATGTATTTATAACCAACACCCGTACCCCCCTTTCGCCGACCTTTCATCACGCTTCGTTCCCATCATCGGAACGGCGGGAACCTTCGATATCCTCTTGCCACTCTCTCGTATCCTTACATTTCTCGAATATGAAGCGAATCATACGTTTGCTTATTTGAGTAATACGTAATTTCTTTGTATAATTATATATTTCTTCTGATTAATTAATTATATAATTCGGCACGCAAATAAATCCGTAAGCCAGACTCGTTCACACTCGTCTCTTGTCTGAATTAATTTCTTAACTGTCCCGATGATGTCAGGAAACCGGCGTAGGATCAATTGCGATGTCTTAGATTTCTCTCGAGTGCTCGTTCTTAAGTGTAGCGTTAATTATTTTAGTCACCTTAGATATTTAGAAACGAGAGGAAGAAAAATATCGCGTGTACTTGCATTAATACTTAAATTATTCATCCATTATTTTTCCGTTTAAACATGAGTTAGAGAGCAAAGTTCAAGCTTTGAGGTCTGTGAGACTCTATGTATTTCAAGAATTAATATTATCTTCGGTACAAGCTTTTTCTGCACCCGGATACTTTTCCTAATAATTTCCGCCATGTTTGGACGTAGTCTTGCAATCCTTCGATTAAAACAACTCTCGAAGCGAAACTTTTTCCAACTTGGAACAAATGGCACGCGCCCGTGATCGTTTCTTCTCTGAATATATTTCAAGATTCTTATGAATTCATCCTTCTTTCTAAGAATTTTTTAACAAGAAATTCATAGATTTATGAATTCGCTCGTTTGGTCGCGAGAGAAAGTCACCCCGCTGAATGATTATCGTTTGATCACCAGGAATACAGAACGGTCATCTTTGAATGATTTTCTGAATAAAATAAAAATTGACTAATACTCGGCAAAAAGAGTCTGAAGTGCTTAATAATCTCTTTTCTTATTTTTGAATTTATAATTATTATAAGTATAAATTCAAGATAAATGCTTATATCGCTAAACATGCCATTATTTTTAATAACGAACTTGCAACGTACCGACTCAAAACTAGGACTAAACTAGGACTAAATTTTTCCCTTAATAAATTGACAATTAAATATGATTGCCCCATCAGAAAAAAATGTTTATTATGAATAATATCAGCTTCGTCAGGGTTCGAACCTGAAACCTCTCGACTATCTGCGCCGAATGTCTATCTGTTTTTTAAATTAATATCTTTTCTCTCGAAAATATAATATAAATATAAAATACGATTTTCAAATTTTTCATTAATTATTCTATTTATTCTGGTGGAATAGTAAAATCAGAAAATTTTAAAATCCTAAAATTTTTTTAATATCAAAAAGTATTTATTTAAAAAAATAGAAATGGTCGCTTGGTACACTTAATGTAATAGAAATATCGTGGTAGACATATCGTTTATGCGTTGTCGTAACTAAATGTGTAAATAACGCGGAAAGATAAGGGATAATCGTCTATTTCGTCGTGACAATTTGTGACAATTTGTAAGAAAAATAAAGAATATGTCTACGAAATAAACTTTCGAATCGAATTAGTCGGCCCATTACCGTTATTTTATCGCTATTGGCAATCGCGATCGTTCAACATTCGACGTGTTTTTTCACACGACATGCATGCGACACGTGGAACGAGGCACAAAAACGTAAAATATCACCCGCCGATCGAATGTTTTGTTGACGTTAACGTTGCCAGGGCTGTCATCGTCGATGAGTGAAATTATTTTCGGTGATTTTCCCCGTTCGAACAGATATGAGATGGAAAATTCTGAATTCGTGAATTCATATGATACTTTTACAATCATTCTCGCGCTTATTTTTCATTGCCATTGACTACGAAGTGCGTTTACGTTAATATATCAAATGGGCAATTTGGCAATAATTAATAAGCGATAATAACTAGTGTAATAATATTTCACAAAGTTGACAAAATGCTTCGTTGATAATGCAAGAGCATAAATGTCACGTCATCGACAAATGACAATTATTTTCAGAATGCTTTTTTAACGAAGCAAAATTTCTGTGTCATGAGATTCGATTTAATTATTTTCACACTTATTTCCAGATTTGAAATGATGCTGTCCGTACGAAGCGCTGTTGCATTGGTGTTGATGCTCTTCATCTTGGCGGAATATTCGGGAGCGATGCCGACGACCGACAAAGATAAGGAAAGGCTTTTGAATTCTGTGGAAGTAAGTAAATCCGTTTGTCATTCGTCTGTTTTAATTCGAATATAGTCACTTGGCTTTTTTTTACAATTATTATTCGAGATGTTTTTTCAGGAATGAGATTTCAATTAAATTCTTATTATTTATTAATAATACAATAATGTTTAATAACAATATATTAACGATATATTATTAATTATTTTTCGTTTATTATAGTTAAGAATATTATTAATATATATATATATATATATATATATATAGATTTATTTACTATTTTCTGAAGAAAGAAGTGGAAACCAATGGAATATTAAACAAACAGAATAAGCAGATTGAGATAAATCTTGTTTTCTTTTTGCTGCTGAGATTGAAAAATCCAAGTGACTATCCCAGGTTTGATGACTACGCTCGACATTTATAATCCTCCTTTTAAGGAGCGATTCCTTAATATTAAACCGATGTTTGATCAATAAAATGAATTTCGAAACTTTCGAACTTGTTGAACAACGATAAACTCCGCGAACATTCACGCAATGTTTAAAGTCTCTCTCGATTGAGAAACCGTTCTTGGATGTATTTTCCTCGTTTGAATTCGAGAACTGAAAAACCGGCGATCGAGAACGGCGATGAATTAGAGCTTCCGAATTCACACAAAATTCCGAATACGTGGCATCCCTGAAGTTCGGCTCGCGTGGGATCGTAGGGCCGATGGAAAAAAAATCTGGGCCGCTCGAGAGCTCGTCAAAGTCTGGTTTTTCACATGACATGTAAAAAAATGAAAAACGAGAAAAACGAGGGCGAGAGGGGTGGAGAGAAGAGGAGAGGGGCAGGGGGAATAAAGCGAGAAGGGTAAGTCCGCGTTTGTTGGATTTTTCCCTCCATTCGCAAGGACTTCCGATCTGGTCGGATTGACCGGGATCGAGCAAAATGGACGCGGTGAGGGGGTCCGCCTGACAGCTGTCAGAAACGTCTTCCTCTTCCTCGCTTTGTAATCGAATGAGGCGAGACGAGGCGAGACGATCGGAAACGGATATAGCTGCCGTGATGCTCGCGCGAAAGTTTGCCGACGTTTGCCACGGCACTTCCGACTTCTCGTGATTCCTTTGCGTCACGATCGAGGTTAGATCCCGTCGAGGGTGCATCCGAATTGACAATCGGATGCGGCGATTCGCTATATTTTCTTAAAATCTGAAAAAGTACCCGCAAAATTCCGCGGACAAAACTCGCTCGCTCGTGACCGCGATGCAAAGGCAAAGTTGTTAACATCAAATGTCAAAGTTACAACGAGCTATTCAGCATGATGACCCGTTTGTTAGGCAAAGGATTAAAAACGTGGTTGAGCGTTGCGTAAGTGTTGAACTTTCTTGAACCGACTTTGAGGAAAAGAGTCGAGAGAGAGAGAGAGAGAGAGAGAGAGAGAGAGAGAGGGAGGAAGGAAGAAAGAAAAAAAAGGAAGAGAAAAACGAAAAAGAGACCTGGCCTTCTTGCAAGAGTCGCGACTACGTCGTTATTGCGCAATTCGTCTTTGTCATTCCCCTCATTTCTTTCGGGATCGCCACGCATGATTTAAAAATTTCGCTTGGCGAGTTCTTTATACGATCATAATAGAAATCCTGGCCTGGCGATCCCGTTTGGAAGAGGCGGACGTGGGGGGAGGATGAGAAAAGAAGTAAGAAGAACGTGAGAGGAGCGTTATTTAAATGTCGCGAAACTGCCAGTCAAAGAACGCAGCGTCGTGAATTCATTCGGTAAATCGGTACGTTGTTAGTGTCCGATTGATTTCCGTAGGGAGACTTCCGTAAAAGAGGAATTTCCACGCCGCCTGCAGCATCCCGATCGCACACGGAGCGTCTCGGTCCAGATTCCCATTACAAGACGACGCGGACGCGGACGACGGCGACTCGATATACGTACATAAGGGCGCGCGAGAGGAAGCTTTATGAAAACGTTGATGCTTTTTTCCGAGCTTCCCATCTGCAACGCGCGGAATAAACGGTTCGGAGAAATTGCGTTGCGCGTTGCGTAACTGCGCGTCGCAGTCCCTGAATTGCAAATGAGATAGAACGGGAGGACGGGGCGCGGGGAAAAAAGCACGTAGGAGGCGACGCCGAGACGGGGACGAAGAACGCCGTCGTTCGTTTAACCATCAAATCGAAAAAGAAAGGGAGAAAGTAAAGGACAACCGCCGCTTGTCTGTCTTTTCCCATCCTGCGAACGGTACGGCGCACCGCACGCTTGTAAAAAGTAATAACTCGTTCGACGTCATTTACGTCATTTAGATTCATGTTTCGTTTTCCGCTAGAAATGGAAGGAAATCGCGTGAAAAACAGAAAAAAGGAAAACGAGAAAAGGAAATATATATCTGATCGATATATATTTGAATATATATTCGCATTTGTGAATATTGATATTTATTTTTTTATTTTATTTTCGTTTTTATTTATTATTTATATCTCGTTGGCGTATCTAGTCTCGCGGAAATATTCCCGCCCTGAGGCAGAAGGATATTCAAGGAGGAGTTGGAAGATTAAGTCTCGTGCAAAATTAAAAAAGGAACCGCGAATTTTTCAGCTGCCTCTCGCGGCCGCGTTCCATGGCGAATTCTGTCGTCGCGACTGCGTCGGGCCGTAAAGATAAGCGCAAAGACCGCGGAAAGTAGGAGAGCAAAGTAATCAAGAAAGCGCGGAAGTGGCGGCGGCCAATAAATCCGCAAGTCGCAAACCGGTAATCGATAAAACCGCCGTCGCCGGCGACGACGACAATCGGATTTTTCCGCTCTTTTCCGCGCCCGTTAAAACCTGCAAGCGCAGGATTTAACGACGTCCATCCCTCCGGTTTATCTCCACCTTCGCATCCTAATTCGGATGGAACGTTTACCGCTAAGTTTTAAAAGATTCCACGTAAGAGTTCCACAGAGCAAAGGATCGAGAAATGTGAGGAGACTAATGGGAGAAGAATTCAAGGGAGAAGTATATTATAGAAGTTATATTGGCGTAGAAATTTTACGCTGGTCACGCGATCCGAGGAGAAAAAGTCACTTTCCAAATTATATTGGTCAAACAGTTAATTAAACAATTTTTTTTTCCTCGAGGAGCCGAAGGCACTGCGCACTTTCATTCTTTTTTTTTTTACTATTCGTCATACCTTCGATTTTAGTCAATTTCAACGCGTATATTACACGAGTAACTCCCTTTTGACATTTAAACCGGGAACTCCGCGGAACGTGCGCCAACTATTTGACCCGCGAAAGTTTTGTAATAACCGGATTGCATAAAGCGTTGTAATTACGCGTACGAAGGATTGACGCGGAGGAAGACGTGGAGAGGAAACGATTCGAGAAGATTTCCCACGAAATCATGTGATTTCACGCGAGACAACCTCCTTGCAATACCTTGCAATTTACCGTTGAGACTCTACTCCCTCGCGATTCTCTCGCATCTCTCGCTTAGATATTTCGGAAAAAAATGCCGAGTTGAGTTTTCCTAAAGTGTTCTTAAAATTTTCGTCATATGGGAAAATAATTTTAGACCCTCAAAATAATTAGGATGCATTAATCAATAAACAAATTCGGAAATTCGCGATGTATACTGTTATTAATTATAGTATATGTATAAAAAAAGAGAAATAATAAGAGAAATAACCATTAATGTTTCTGTGTTCTTTAAAAATGTCATATGTTATTTTTAAAAAAATAAAAAAAGATAATAGTTTTTATTAGAGACTGAAAAAACACAAAAAACTTCGATTAATAACCAGTGAACTTTAATAATTGTACTGATAAACGATTAACGTACAGATTTCCCTTTTAAAAGAAAATACATATTTTTAGTAAATATAACTTAAATATATATTTAGTTAATTTGTATTAATCTAATTTGTATTAATCTATTAATCTGAATATCAAACCTTTACCTAAATTTATCTGAATATATCTGAATATCAAAATATCTTTTATCTATTATTATTTAATAAAATAGAGTACATATATTTTTTCTTAATATAATTACATTTTCAAATAAAAAAAATATTAATTCTGTATGAAAATTAGACATGAGAAATATACTTTGCAATTTATTATTTTGAGATTTTATTATTTAATATTTTTCTTAAACAGTCATTTACTCATGATGATTCAGCGATTGGTGAATCAGTGATCCTATGTAGAACGCTTAAGCATGATGATATAATAAAAATTTGTTTATACTTTAGCAACCAATTTATTGCTCTAATAAAATTGTTTTGACAGTCTAATAAAATTATTTTCAGAATCGTATTTGGTAATAATATAAATTCTTAATTGTATCAGCCAAATGAATTGTTGATTGTTTTTTTCCGTTTGTTCAATGCATCGATTTTTATTTTTATTTACGGAGAGGGAAGGGATCATGTTTTCGTGATACAACTCGGAAGGAACAGCTGATGTTTTAGTTACATAATCGAAGGAAGAAGCGGCGGATGGAGAGTGAAGAGATCGGAGAGTCGCCACATCTCCGTGTATTTTCTGCTCGACGGAATTCAATTCAAGGGGCCGGAACCGCGTGCGTTTATCGCGTTAGATTCTCAATTTCGCTTAATCAATCTGTTCGCACGAATTATGCGCGCGAGCGCGCGGGGATGCGGCAATTGCGCTGCAAACGTGGCAGCGCTTTGCCTTTTATCGCGACAACGGGAAAAGCTGAAATAAATGTCAATCGAACCGTATACAAATTGCAGCCATCGACAATAAATACGATGGTTCGCTCTCCCCCTCCTCCTCCACCCTCCTTGCCCTCCCGACGACACAGTTTACGCCCCATTATTACGTCGCCCCATTATTACGCATTACGAAAAAGCGCGCTCGCTCTCGTTCGCGATGCGCCGCGAGCGTGTGCTCCTCTACTTTTTATTCGAAACATTAACGGTGGGATAATCGTGTTTCTACATACGTAGTCGTGTTTCTCCGTTCGAAATCAACGTTAAAATCGTGATGTATCGGATACTGCGGTATCCGGGCGACGCCAAACTGGCTCGGTCTCGGTCGCGTCTGAATTATTGTTTATTTTATCGTTGGCCGCCGAAATTATAGCTCGAGTGGGCGCTGATTAGAAAACATTATACGACTGCGAAATTAGTAAAATAAAGAAACATTTACCCGCGGTAGACTTTTCGCTTTTTATTTTATTTTTTTAACTTTTCCTTTTTATAAAGATTTTTTTTATTTATCGTATGATACAGTCGAGGGGAAAAGGAGATACGTCTCTCCTCGGTTTATGTAAATTTTATGTGCTTTTTTTTACCCGCAGAATTATATTTCGAAACAACCGATTGGAAAATACAACTGCAAAATTATCAAAATAAGGAATCATTTATCCGCGATAAATATTTCCTCTTTTATTTTTTTAAACTTTTTCGCTTTGTGAAGATTTTTTTTATTTTTTGCACAATATAATCGAGAAGAGAGCTATGTCTGTCCTCGGTCTACGAAAATTTTATGTGTGTTTTTTTTTTTACCTTTAAAATTACATCTCGAGAGAGCGCCGATTGGAAACGTACAATTGCGAAGTTCAATCAAATAAGAATCATTTACCCGCGGTAAGCTTTTTCTATTTTTTTGAGATTTTTCCTCTTTATGGAGATCTTTTTGTCTATAAAAAGTGAAGCAATCGAGAGATGCAAAAAATATATTTGTCCTCAGTCTACGTTTTGTCGTATCTTTTTATTCTCTTTTGTCTTTTTCATTATTTTCAGATCTATATTTGACCAACCTTTAGATACTTTCGCAAAATCACTCTTTCCGCGTACATTCGTAGAGTAGAATAAAATATGCAAATGTAACTGCACTCGCAACGTAAAAAGACGTAACTATAGCAAATTAAATTACGACGCGCGCGTCAGCTTATTCCTCGGCAAAAGAGCACGTTAGCTTTCCGAAAAAAGGGAAAAAAAAAAAAGAAAACTAGCCAGACTTGTACTTGTTTCAGCTGATGGACGACGACGGCAGAGTCGATACAGCCCTGATGGATTACCTGCTCGCCAAGCAGATCGTGAAGCGCTTCCGCAATCAACTGGACATTGGCGATTTACAGCGCAAGCGGAGCTACTGGAAGCAGTGCGCCTTCAATGCCGTGTCCTGCTTCGGTAAATAGGCGCGTAGCAGGACGAGGGTAAAGCCGGGCGAGAAGCGCAAGAGAAGATCGCCACGTACACGTTTAACGCCGGAAAGTTTCGAAACCCCGCGGACGCGCGGGAAAATTTTACGGACGGGCTCGCAAATTCGCCCGCGAACAAAAACAAATTCGCCCGCGATTCGACAGGATATTATTTAAAACGGTAACAACGATTATAATTTAGCTATTAAATTATACGAAGGTGAATCGCGTATTCCCCGGCAGAACGCCTCGCGCGTGTAATCCGTTTAACAAATAATTCGACATATAAAATAATAGCCGCACAACTGTAAAGTATTTAAGCGCGAATAATCCTTGTTTCAGCGGAGAGACTTTGTGACGCCGAAATACGTTTGGCGATGAAAGGCGTCCCGGTGCTCCGATAATGTTCCGATTAAAAAAAAAAGAATCAATCTCAATTAATTTTAATAAACGCACAGTCTGGCATAATTTTGCGCATAAATTAATTCACCGGAAATCAATTCTCATCGGCTGTATCGCATCCCTGCGCAACGCGTAACGCGTAACGCAACGGTAACGCGCTCGCTGAAGCTCCGGAGCGAAGAATATAAATTACGAAAGAACGAAATTGGTCGGAAATGAGCAACGCGAGCGCACGGCGAACACGGCGACAGGGGCGAGCAAATAAATCTCTTTGCTAAAACACGGCGATGTAAATTTGAGAATCGGTTCTTTCCGAGAATTCCATTTCTCTCGACGATCGCACTCTCCGCGCGCGCACACACACACACACACTTCTTCCGCCACACTCTCTCCGCGGCGGGCGCATCTGTTCTCGAAACTTTCCGGCACGACGACGCGCATGACGAAGAAAGAGAAAATCCTTCCTCTCATCCCCTCGCAACTTGTCCGATCTTAAAGCTTTCAAGATTAAAGTAGCTGCGAAAGTCACTACGGCTATTTTTTCGTACAACTTCCCTTTTGCATCGCTCCCCGCTCTTCGGCAAGCGCGCGAAGCGAGAAGAAAAGAAGAAGAAAAAAAAAAAAAAAAAGAACGAAAAGGTAGAAAAATGGAAAAAAATAGAAGGCTAAATACCAAAAAATCCAAATCCGGCGAATCGCGATGACGAGATTAACGCAACACAGAGGGATGTAATCGCGGGATACATATCAGAGGAGATATACACGTGCCAAGTTTGATTCTTCTTTCGTGTTGTAAACCTACCGGCCACCAACTAGCGCTGTTTGCCACATCGCGCGACGTTTACACATATACATATACATATACATATACATATACATATACATATACATATACATAGAATATAAATTACATGTTGAATTAATGCGTAATCTCATTTGCCTGTTGTCAATGTGTCTCGCCTGTACACGTCACAGAGTTCTATGAATGATTAAACTATTGTAATTGGCCTCTCGATCGTATAAAATATTTGCCACCCCCATCCGCACCGATTGATCCCGATCGCGCGTACATCTCGGTCGAGGATGTCGCGATATGTGAATTTAATTCGCCGTGACGTCATTTATCGCATCCGTGCCGCGGTTCTGGGTTTAATCATCGAGATACCACTTAGCGAATTGCGCATACCTAATTCGTTTAATCGTAAATGAGAGCACGGGAAACTCGTTAGCTGTTTTCCTCGAGTTAATTCTCATTAAGATTATCCTAATTATTTTATTGTCTCGCACAAGCGATTCGTTTCCGCGAATAACAGTACTCATAATCTTCATCTATTCATCTATTCCCTTTCATTTCGTCTGTCCAGTTCACTTTTTATTTGTACGTAGCATATAAATGCTCGCATTTCCCTTAATTTTCATAGGTGTATTTACAAATTTACTTACAAAAACGGGGAGAAAAATTAGAGATAAAGGGAAAGCAATTTCATAATTAAGGGAAAGAAGAAAGTAATTTTATAATCAAGGGAAAGTATCTTTTATTTCTTCCTTTGCCTTTTATTTCTTCCTTGCCTTTATTTCTTGCTTTTATCACAAGACATTTTAATTTTGTTTTATTATTACAGACATTTACATATTTTATTAAACCCTGAAACGAGCATTGCTGTGTGTATTAATTTATGTGTACATGTGTACATGTGTGTGTGTGTGTGTGTGTGTTAAAAACGATAAGTGCTGCGTTACCGATGTATGCACGAACAATTACAGTAATCGCCCACTAGCTGAACCGCATGCTGGACCTCGTCTTGCTTCCTCGACCGCGCCGCGGTTTCCTCCAGCCAGGACACGTTCACATGCTTGACGGTTCTCGGAAAGTCCGCAAAGTCCTTGCGAATGAAGAATAGAATAGAAATAGAATAGAATAGAATTTATTTGCACTTTAGCCTTGTAGCCAAGAAAGGGACTTGGTTTACAAAAATTAATCACTTAACCACATTCATCCTTTCATATCTAATTATCTATCGTGTTATACATCATACTTGTTTTTATTTATTTACTCTTTTGCTTCGTTCTTTTCGCTTGCTTATAACTTTTGCTCATCTTTCCTACTCTATCCTTATTTGCCTACTTTTTATTTGCCTTATTTACTTATTTATTCCTATGTATTTCTATCACGGTCTCTCTTAACACATTCCTCTTTTTGCGAAAAACTTATCTCCTCCCTTTGTTTTTACCTTGTCGTTATTTTCCTCTTCGCTTCTTTCCTTTAATTCTTTTTCCCTTTTTCCCAATCTAACTTTTCCTCCCATTAATCTTCCTATGATCGCCTCTTTGTTTCTATCTAACTCCATCCAACCTTTAGTTAAGTTCTTGCGAATAAAAAAGCGACATTTCAAAACCGTGACATCTCGCACCAACATTATCAGATTCGCCGAAAAAAATTCATTCGTTCGTTCTATCGAGAAATAAGATAAAAAGATGCACTTTATCGGACAAATTTAATCAACGTAACGCCACAGTGATGACGCAAGGATATCCTTTTCCCCTTATATATTTCATCCCCAGGCGGTATATCAGGTGTCTTAGAGAAAATTATTATCGTCGAATGCGTTTTTGAATTATTTGATATATTTTTAAATCGATCGGGAAATTTGCTCGCTTCCGCCCACGTGGCGCTTACGTTAATAAATGAAAAAAGAAACGAATGAACTTTCTGATAAATCTGATAAGCGCCGATGACGCAAGCACTGTACGAGTTATACCAAGATGTTAGGAGCCGATAAAAAAATTTTTTTAAATGACAGTTGAAAAAAATCTCATTGGAATTGACGTAAAATCGTAGCGTGACGACGACATGAGTCGCATTCGCGACCTGAAAAAAAAATATATATATATATATATATTTTCCATAACCGGTGTGGGATAACGGCAAATTAACGGCGACGTCCGGTAATTGGCGCCGGCGATTAATCGAGCACCGGCAACTTGCTTCCAGGATAGCGGAAAGTGCTGAACGGTCTGGATCGGGAGACAGTAATGGCCGCGGTATTAACCGCGGTTAATCCGATTATGGCCCCCCTTACCTTTTCCCATCCCACGCCATTCCGTCCCGCCGTACGATCGCGCGTTAAATTTCCGCGTTGCTCACGCTGCTAAATTCCCACGCGATTTTTCGCCGATAAAAGCGGGTAAGGCCGCTCGACTATCGTCAGATAGCGGATTCGCAGAGAGTGTAATCGCGAGCTGAGGGACGCCAGCTTGAGGTTGAGCGATAAAAATGCAACCTCTCGGTGAAAATGTCAGGGAGGGAGCATACATTCGGCGGGAGGATAAAATTTTTAAATATGTTATACATTTTAAAACAATTAAATTTCGAAATATAATCAACTTATATACGCAAAAGTCGCGCGTTATTTGCATTATTTATTAATATGACGGCATTTATTAATATATACGGCATGATTTTCATTACGGCATGCTGTTCTTAATTACAACATGTCGACATATGCGCGCACAGGAGTGACGCGTAGAGCATCTTTATCCCCGAGTTTTCTCGACAAATTTTCCTTGGGGGGAGGAAAGGTTTCTGCTGAAAAAGTCAACTTCTCGTTCTCGTTGTCTCGGTCCACAGCTGTGCCCTTTCATCCCGCACAATCGCGCGTTACATTATCTTACGTATGCCGTTTAACTAGTTCAAACTTACCCTGAGAATGACGGAGGACGGAATTTCCATGCGCGTGTGGATGATGTGGGTCGTCGTCGAGTCGTGTCCGTTCTCCGGCGTGACTATCGTGGCGCCGAGTCTAACATTTCAACGTTGTCAAGGAGGATCGCAGTTTAGAGTGTCGGCTTTAAATTCACCCCCCGGGGCGTGTGCGAGTATGTGTATAAGCGCGTTTTGCTGAGAGAAAAGTGGACCTCGCTCACGTCGTGACAACGTCGCGGAAACGATTCCAGAGGGTAAACCGGAGACTGGACGCGATCCCATCGAGGATAAGAATCCTGCGCGAGCCAGCGCGACGTCTCTGACCATTGTAAACTCGTCCCACCGAGAAACAGACGTTTACGTTCACTACACCGCGACCTGTACCATCGACCTGTTTTCTGTCTCGACGTTTCGTAAATTACATTCTTCGAGTAATTTGTGGTACATACTATATGGTACATTTCAATTATTATGATTACAATACAGAGTGGTCCAAAATATAGAAACAAACCGAGGGGGGGTAATTTCATGGCGCGAAATGAATGGACATGGTATAAATAAATTCTTTTCGAAGGCTTCTTTTTCGAATAAAAAAAAAAAAAAACCTTGCAAGAATTGAAGAATTAAAAATTATTTTTGCATTTGAAAAATTAAAAGGATATTCATAATAATAAACAAAATTAAAGGATCACCTCAGATCAGGAAGAAACGGCGAAATACAAATTTATATGATTTCGCGAAAAATAAACGTAGAGATATATTTTCAAAAAGGCTTCTTTTACTAAAGGCCTAAAGATTCCGCTTCGAAAGTGCATCAAAAGCTTTTTCTTCGGCGAGATTTCTGCTCGAAGAGGCGGGTAAAAGAGTTTGACGAGATTTGCGCGCAAGCGGAATCTTAAGATTTAAAATATGTTTTTGAAATATTTTTCATCAAGTCGAGCGAATTTGTATTTCCGTTTCCGCCACCGTTTCCGCCACTTCCAGTGGTACTTTAATTCCATTGAAAAATATATTTCAAGTTAACTCATTCGACATTTGACTCTTTTTCAAATAATTTACGTACATACAACGCTCATATACTTTTCAACGTACGATGGCGTATTTTTCAAAAATAGCGAAAGGACATTAATGAGACATTCGTTGCGAATGCAAAGAGATAAAGAACGTGTGTCACGATAATGCAACTTCCCTGTTAATACAAGACCGACATTTGCGTTACTTCGAAAATCGATTAGAGAATCGAAGAGAAAAAAAACGAGGGGGAGAACGATGGGGATGTAAAAATTTATGACATTATCGATTATAAATTATGTAGCATTATCGAAAGCGAGCGAGACCAGCTTTTATGAAATCGCAATATAATGCGAGCGTAAAGATAATGCGATTACAGCGAGCAATTACGGCGACGTATTAATTAACGTATCAAAATAACGACAAAAGAAAGGATACATTTTAAGCATTTTCCGTGCGTCCTTCCTCCTGCTCGTATCGAAACCAGGCGCGAGGCTCGCTCGTACATCTTGCAGCACATTATTAAATTTCTGCAAAGAAAATTTGCGATAGATAGAGAAAAAAAAAGGAGCGAAAGGTAAAATGTAATGGGAGAAATAATAACGGCATGCCAAGATGAAGTAAGTGCAAAATGAAGAAGAAAAAGAAGAGAATGTAATATCAAAGTTCACACAAAAAAAGTAAAAATAATATAAAATATAAAATCATATAACATAAAATACAGTGTAAAAGTAAAACAATAATATAACTTATATAAAAAAAATATACGGTAAGTATATATATATATATATATATATATATATATATATGTAATTTTATACTTTATATTTTATTTTTATATATTATAATATATGATAATGCATATAATTAAATAATACACTCAAAGAAAGGTTTTGCTAACATTTAAAAATTTAACTGGATATAGAAGTAAAAATTGTTTGGGTTATTAAAATTACTTACAGAGCTGTCTGATCAAGTTTATAAGTGCTTTAGCAAAACTTCATGTAATTATATTATTATATAATATAATTATTATGTGAGTATATAATAATTACGTAAATAAATTTAATATGCAGAATATATAATGCAGAATGTATAATGAATAAGTTAAAGCGGAAATTGAATAAACGGAAAAATATCTTGTCACAAGCGCACAAAGGCTAAAGGTGAGCACGTGTGCGATGAACTTACAATAAAAAACACGAACATCTAGGTAAGTAACAGTTACGTCAGACAACTTTCGAGAAGATGGATGAATAGACTTCAACTTCACTGTCCGATGTTCTAGTTGCGGACAGAGTTAGCGAACTGCGAAGAACGGGAACAGGTTTGTTCGCGGAAGATTGTTGATAAGCAATAGATATCGGTGGTGACCGATTACGAGAAATCAGTGAGAGAAAATACGAGGTATTCATCATTGTCCCAATTCGAATTCTCCAACAGGACATAAAGGACATAAAGGAGAGCGTGAGAAGAAAAATCTACCGATAACATCATCTCTCTCTCTCTCATAAAAAGCAGATGCAGATAATCCTGGAGCGCGTGAGAAAAGACGCTTATAACAAGAAACACTCGTGACAGTCGTGACAAGCTTCGCTTCTTCGAATCAGATTAACTTCCATCTCGCAGGAAGACATTTCAAACGGTCGAATATAAATCTCGATAGTGCAACCTTCTTTTTATTTTTTACGCAAAATATTAACAATCGAATAAAAAGAGAGGCTTCTGATCGATTCCTATCCTTTCTTAGAAATGAATTTAATTTACGGCAACGCCGTTAATGTAGCAAATTATAGGTAGCAAAGAGATACGTTTCTTAAATGTTATAGAGACATACATATGTTTGCCGAATCCGTGCAACTGCGTGAAACTATGTAGCATAAATAAATAAACAATTTTCAAGTATAAACACAGAGAGCGGAGTAAACAGCGTGCAGGATATTTAATAAGCGCATGAATAATATTAATCGGACAATTTATGCTAATGGTTAATGTTATTCTCATGCAGCGGAATTAATAAATTAAATTAATTAATCGAGTGATCTAAATATGAATTAAAAGGGGAAGAATGAAATAGAGCTTGATGAGAGTTTATTAAAAGAGATTCCCAGATAGAATTTCGTTTAGAAAGAAACATAAGAAATAAGAAACCGTTTGCCAAGATTAAATAAAAGGTAAATTTCTCCATATTATCGGAAAATAAATGGGATATTATCACTTATCACTTACGGTATCTTCGACATCCGAATCGGAGGCACTCGTGTCCTTCGAGGACTCGAAGGATCTTTCCGTCTCGCCGGCAAGACGATCGGTGCAATGATCCTCCCCTTCTCGTTTCATCCCTGAATCCCTGAATCTTTTCTCCTTCTTGGGAGAGAATCCCGAAGTCGACGAAGGTTCCTCTGTTTCTTTCTTGAGCTCGTGTTTCATCTTCAATCCCTCGCTCTCTGATGGGATTCTGTCTTCCGAAGAAGGTCCTTGGTCGCATTCATCCCTTTTTCGTTTTTTGACGGGCGTTCCCGGAAGCGGTTCCTCCTTGATCTTGGAACTCGTCGATGGCATGTCCCACGAGTTCGTTCTCTTCCTCGCACTTTCGACCTTCCCTGGCGACGTGTCCTTCCTTGGAGAACCAGACGGTTTCTTTCTCGGACTCGTATGACGAGCGTTGACGTCCGTTGGAACGTTTAGCAGGTGATCGAAATCGAGAGACTCGGGCTCCCTTTTGAAGAGATTGCGCAGCTCCTCCAGGTTGGTGGCCGTTGACCAGTCCTTGTCATCGCGGATCCGCGTAACGCGCGGAAACCGGATGCTGATGCCGTCCGCGGTGTGCACCCCCTGGTTTGTAAACTCGGCGCCCGTTATCTCCCATACCGGTTGTTTCTGTCCACCCCCATCGCCCACAGTCGAAATTGAACGATTAGTGGTTATGACGGATTAACAGCGGAGCATATTAACGCTACATTATACGCCAAGATCCGCAGTTTGCATTGCGAAAATGAGATTTGAATAACTCGAATATAGAGAGGATGTGGTCGAACGGTAGAGAGGTGTGTTAATTAATTAGTCAGGTAAATATAGAATCGAATAACGAAAAAAGAATATTTAAAATAAAATTAACATTTTAACTCTTGAAAGAAAATGATATCGTCTTAACTCTATAATTAAAGGGTTTTAGTTCCAAAATCCTAAAATAAAAATTGACATTAAATCATAATTTAAACTTGGGTATTAAAAAATTCAAATAAAAATTCTTAATTCTTTAAATAAAAGCATTCCCGTTTCAATAATGGGATAGATTTGTTGATCGAGGGGTTGACTTGCCGGATTACCTTGGGATCCTTCGCTACAAAGTCCGGCACCATAGGTTTCTTGGCGAGCAACCAATTCGGCAGCTTTTCAGCGTCCTTGCCGATCTTCACCATGTCAAGCTCGTCCTGCAACGCCGCCAGGGTAGCATCGTCATGCCCCGTGTGGACCTAGGACGATAAGAAAACATGGTCTCTCCGAGTTAACATTTATTTAAAATCGAGAGTAAACATTTTATTTAATTGTATTTACCTTGGTAACGGTTAACCACTTGTCGCGCTTCTCATCGTAGCAACCCATTAAAAAGACCGATAGCATGCCGCCTGCGAGACAAGTAAAAAAAGAAAACAAAAATCTAGAAAACTCGAGGACCTTTCGAGATCAAGTTGTTGCAAAAGAATCAGTAATTTCTCTAAGTAATAATTTCTCAAGTAGCATAAAATAAATTTCTTTATAATAAATTATTAATAAATTTCTTTTTAGATGTATAAATTCGACTTGATCGCTTTTATCATTTTTTTTTATCAATTTTTGTTTATTTGTTTCGCCTGCTGTATTGCAGTATCTTAACTTTATTAATTTATGTAAAATAAGATATGGATAACTATACTATATTATAATAGAATATAATCATAACAGCTTTTTATTTGATCATCGTTATATGATGATAAGAATAGTTTGATGTGTTTAATACTAATACCAATTATTGTGATCATTACTGATTATTTCTATCGTTTAAATTAATATTTTTTTCTTTTTAAAAATTTAAAAACACGATTATAAAATTTTCTAATTTTTTATCAATTAACTCCCTTCAGAATGGATTGTTCCACTCTTTGATAAATCTCCGTTTATTCTTTCGCATTCTCTTTTTCTTTTTCTTACTCACAGTTTTATCCAGTAAGCAAATTTATTCGAAAGTGGAACAACCGGCTCTTATTCTGATAGACCAATAAAATCAGAAAATTTCAATATCCTATCTTCGATACTAGAAACAACACAGGTATTACATTAAAAACAGTTAAAACAACCGCTTAGTACTTGTAATATCGAACAATTATAATCGTTTAATAAAGATTTAATAAAAACTACAACACATCAGGTTTAGTTTTATCTTTCGAATCTTTCGCACTGCAATGCGATAAAGTACCAGTTGTACAGACCTTTGTTACCTGTGCCGTACCATGCACCAAGCACGACGAGATCTGCGCTATCAGCCATCGCACCGCCGCAGAGATAGTCCTTTTTTACCTTCAACCAGTGCCTCTTACCAGGCTCGTATTTGCTCTGGAAATACGGATTTCGAAATCAAATAAAGCACAAGTACCTAGCGATCCATGAAGAAGCATCTACGAGATATTTAAAAATCGATCGATTTTATCGTCGGAAGTTATAGATAATATAAATGAAATAAGAACACTCTGTATCGGATAATTAAGTAAATAAATAATTATTTAATTATTTAAATAACGTAATAATAACGCGAGAGTCTATGTGTAACAAGAAGATTTTTGCGCGTTACTAGGATCGATACCTACGTCGATATCCTTCAGGACCAAACCCTCGAGACCCAGTTTCAACACGTGAATAATCCTTTCCGCTAAATCCCGCGGATCCTGAAATCGAACGCGAATCGTAATCTAATATACTGCTGTAAATAAATGGGAATTAGCGTTTCTTTTGTTCATTTTATTTCTTTACGTGCACTTCGTGTACTTCCGACAACATTATTCTGTTCGGTATCTCGGTCATCCTGTCTTTCAAGATGTTCCTGCGTTCAAGCATAGATCTAACGCAATGGAAAAAAAAAAAAAAAAAAAAAAAAAACTTAAATCAATATACAAAATATAATTTTAATAAAAATTATCATATAGAATACTTTTTGAAATTCGATATTTACTTGTCTATAAGTATCTCGCCGTTATAATACAAGCAGTCGAAAACGAAAAGGCACACATTGGCGTTTTTGAATTCAGCTTTCTGAAAATAAATTTAATTATTTAAAACATATTATTATATGCACACATTTCTATTATTATAAAGCAATTGAGATAGAGGATTGCGGAAAATTCCACAAATTTTCATTCATATATTTGATTTACTTTATAATTAAACGATAATAAAATATATCGATGAAAATTTAAGAAATTTATTCAAGAAATTTTACTAAAAATAGAAAACATGCATAAAATAATTTAACACATATTTAAAAGAATCTAATTCGGAAAATAAAAATATCTTCTTTTTTCAATTTAAAGCTAAAAGTGGGGAGTCACGAGTACTTACATTTTTTTTTTTTTCCTGTAAAAAAATCGCGACCCAAAAAATTTTGAAAAATATTGTAAAGTATTGCACGTAGCATTATTATAGATTTGTTATCGATTGCCAAATATAAATTTGACATAAAACAAAATATAGAGATATCGCATTCAGAAATCATTAGAGAAAAATAGAGTTAAGTGAAAAGATTTGAAACAAAATTCGTTGCTCTTACTTTGTGAATTCCTAAAGTGCCGAAAGGCAGAGGTTGTCCGGTCTCATTGTCAACCATAAGAACCTCAGAATCAAGAATCAGATCATCCCCATCAGGAAACGCCTGTCCTATGTAATCCTTGAAGAGATTCACCTAGAAAAGCCGATTACTCGGAAATCGCGGAGTCGCGTGATCGTCGTCGTGTGTGTTTCGAATTTCACAATTATCTTGAATTCTATTATTATTGTATTCTATATTATTATGTAAATAATATATATTATGTAAATAATAATTCTCGAACGATTTTTCGACGAAATATATGTGAAGTATCTCTATCACTTCCAAAAAAACTCGACTTAGAAAATGTAAATTATTTAAAGTAACGAGTTATTGAAAAAAATAGCTACGTAATATTTCTCTCTCTTTCTCACTCTTTCTAACCTTATGAGGCAAAACCGGCTTAAGAGATCTGCTGAAGTATCGAAAATCGTTTCCACTTTTGTGCACCTGCACACGCTCACCGTCGTACTTGACCTCCGATAACATCCCATTCGGGCACTTCCGCATCGCCATTTCCACAGATGTGCATGCCTCGGCCTTTATTAATTAATTAATTAATTAATTAATTACGTATTCAGCTGATTACAACTAATAATTAGTTAATAACAACGCGTGATTATTTAGCTTTCCGTATAACAACTCATTAAACATAATTGAAATTATTGTATGTTTAATCTCGAAAAGTAACTTAATAATTATATATATAAAATATTAAATATACATCATTGTATCATATATAATAATAATAATAATAAGAATAATAATAATAATAATAATAATAATAATAATAATATAATTACATTATATGTATAATAATATTGAAGCCAAATATTTCGTACTAATTCACGCGTTAATAATATATAATGTTATTAATATTATATGCAACGAGTATTAGAAATAATAACAATATTTCGGATTTAGTTCTCGATGTACCAGCATTGGTAAAACGGGAGGTCATCAGCGAGATAGCGACTTTATTGCGGCTTGAAGGTGAGCTCGAGGGGCATGACTTTTCCTCTGGATTCGGCAGGAAACGTCGCACCACCGCTTCCAAATCCCGGGACATCTGGAAGGCCTTGTATGCGTCCACGTGAAGCCCCTCCGAGACTGAATACGCAACGTGTGTGTGTGTGTGTGTGT